CCAGCCTGGTCTACATAGTGAGTTCCAGGACAGGTGGGGCTATAGCGAGACCCTGTTTCAAAAAGACCAAAACCCCCCAACCTCCCCCAACCAAAAACCAACCGGAACAATGAGAAAAACCTGTGGGTAAGAGAATGAAACCACAAGACTGCATCTTCAAAAAGAGCAACAAGCAGTCAGTCCTCCTGGGCCCAAGCTGCTGACATAAACAATCCAAAGGGGAGCCAGAAGAGAGACGACAGCAGCAAACCTGTGGAAGGTTTCTGGTGCCACAACAGCTGGAGGGTTCCTGAACATCAAGAGAATTCTGCGTCTTACTCCTGTTTATACAGGCTAACAGCCACCGAGAGCATATAAAATGCTTCTTAAATTTTCTCCATTATTACAGAAAAGAAGCAGTTTTTAGTAATGCTGCAGATCTTTATAAAAAAATTTCAATCTTATTTAAATGAACACAGACAAACTAAAAAAAAGAAATCTGCTAAAAAAGGCAACTTTTATCTGAAAGATGTTGGTCTCAAAATTCTTACTGTAATCACTTTTCAGGAAGTCAATTAAAATTTGATATAAATCAGAAATTATGTTCTGTTATTTATGGATTAATCTATGTATGTATGGACTAATATGAACAAGTAAATCAGTCAGAGGTAGGGTGACCTGCTAATACATGGAAGTCCTCCACCTTTTTAGTGAACTGAGACTCTCATCTAAGTTGAAAATGAAGCCTAATGCACTGGCCACAAATAGAAACAGAAGACTAGGATGATGCAGAACACAGAAAGTTGTGTTTCAAAATGACATTTATTCCTTTAATAAAACCCGATAAAATGCTAGAAGCACACAACAGCATCCAAGCAAATCACAGAGGAGAAAGGCATCCATGCTCACCCTAGACAGTTTAAGAACCACTCACCTCTTACTAACTGGGTGCATTTCACCACATCTGTGTGTGGGTGTTCAATGGTGATCTCAAAACCTGAAATGAAAGGCATTTTTTCCCAACTACTTACCACTACAATACTTGCCTGAACAATGCCACTCACCACACAACCATAAATGTCTAATAATTCTTCATTAAGAGAAATCCAAAGCCAACATTAAAGCTTCTCATCGCTGACATGCGGCATTACCCTCCAGAAACGAAAACTAGTTTCTTATGTCTCAACAGGAAAACAGACAGTTATTTAAACATCAAAGATGACTTGATTCAAAATTCAGAATTTTAACTCATCTGGGAATTATGCTCAAATCATGGCAAATAACTATTACCATGGCTGCACAGCTTATGTATTATGTCTCTTAATATTAAAAATCTTGGCTTCAGAAGATGTGGAAAAAAATTTCATAAATGTAACTGTTGGGAACAGCAGTAGCAAAGAACTTTAAATGATATAGCCCTCTTCATTTTGTATCTCAATTAGCTCAGCTACATCTCATTAATACTAGAATCAGTGACAAATGAGCCATGTAGCTCTCACAATTTTTTAAAGTAACTTTCTAAAATCAAAGGCAAAATGTTACAAAGTTTTTACGGAAGGACCAATCAGCTTAGGTATAGTAGGGTTTCTACTTTTATTAAAAGAGAAGGTTCTATCTAATGTCTTTAGAATAATGAGTAAAAGTCTAAAAAATGAGTAATCAGGATTTATAAAGTTGTGTGGCTTATTTACATTTCCCCTATAATCGACTAGCAAAATTACAATTTATTTAAACAAAGCAAGATACCTATTTTCTAATGTTCTCTTAAAATACTGCTCATTCATTCTCCATGTTTAAAAGAATGTATCAAAAGCTGGGCTAGAGAGATGGGTCAGTTGTTAGGAGCGCTGGCTACTTTTGCAGAGGACCTGGGTTCCTTGTCTAGCATGGTGGCTAACAACCTTCCATAACTCCAGTTCCAGGGGATCTGACACATCTTTCTTCTGACCTGTGAGGGTACTGCTCGCACATGGTAGAACTGGATTTGAAAGTAATATACTCTCACTTTTATTTTTGTATGTTTTAATGAAACTTAAAAAAATTTTATTTATTATTGTTTATTTTGTGTGTATGGGTGTATTGCCTGCATGTATGTAAGTGCACCTGTGTTGTGCAATGCCTGAGGAGGTCAGAAGAGGGTGTTGGATCCCCTGGAACTGGCGTTTCGGATGGCTGTAAGCCACCATGTGTGTGCTGGGAATTGAAGCTGGATCCTCTGGAGGGCAGCCAGTGCTCTTAACTGCTGAGCCATCTGTCCAGCCCCTTTAATAAAACTTTTAAGCTGTACTTAGATTTCTATTTAACATCTGGGAATGGAGTAATGAGTGAAATAAAGACAATGCATTAAGGAAGACATTATTCCATATCTTCATGATGGAAGTGTAACAGGTAAGAAAATTTTGTCTAAGCTTATGGAGGAGTTCAGAGGCCTACGGATTTAATCTCTGATCTCCCCAGAGTTTGTATTTATCTGACCACAACCTCCTAAGTTCTTCTCCAAGATACACTTAACTTCAGGTAAGTCATTACATTTTTAGGCCTCACTTCTCACATTAGCAATATGAAAGACTGAAGATATTCATTTAAATAATTACTATAGGTGCTGGAGAGATGGCTCAGCAGTTAAGAGCACTGACTGCTCTTTTAGAGGACCCAGGTTTGATTCCCAGTATCCACATGGCAGCCAACAACTGTCTGTAACTCCAGTTCCAGGGGATCCAATGCTTTTTTCTGACCTCCACGGACACTGCACAACATGGGCGCACTTACACATGTACAGGCAATACACCCATACATATAAAATAAAAATAATATGTAAAATATTTAAATAATTACTGCCATGTTAAAGCTGGCAAGGACTGTAGCCCTGTGTTCACATTACTAGCTCTGTGCAACAAGAGCAAAGGGAGCAGAGAGTGCCCACAGTGAATCCTAAGACATCAGAGAGGTCATTCTTCGTCAAGTGAAGAAACCAGTTTTAAAACTTTCTTCAATAATAAAAATTATTGTAGGAATTTTTATTTAGAAACTGTATTAAAGAACACCAAAAGACTGATATAAGCACATACCTAGTGTTTGTAGCATTATGGTTTCAAGTAAAACCAATTCTTGAGTCTGCTGAAGGTAAGCCTGCCAGATAAAAATGATATTAAAATGTTAAGAATAAATATAATACTATCAGCCCTGGATTGTTCTATCTCATGAGATTTAAAAGAATGATTACAAAAGAATCCCAGTTGCTTGTAAATAAGAGGCAAAGAAACTGAGAAACACTACCCGTGACAAGTCTAATCTGAATCACTAACACAAGAGATGAAAATAAAGGTAAAAAAAAAAAAGAGCTAAAGATAATAGTATGAAGTGGCCTAGGTTAACATCTCAAGTCTGCCCAGCACAAATTTACTTAGGCACTGCTACTTTCAGACAAAGAAGCATCAAGCCAAGGGAGAACACTTAACTCAAGCCTGCCTTTTAAGAGAAGGTTTATCAAGTACCAAAACATCTCATTCATGCCAGTGAGTTATTTTTAGAATTAACTTCCCTAGGAAAAAGAAAACCTTAAGTCCCAAGATTAATGTCATCAACATGTCTCAAAGACATAATTGTCAGAAAACTTTTCCCCTAAATTTCAAGAGCCAACTGATCCCACTTTCACAATGCTCTGAGAAGAAAGGACATAGAAGCTTTTCTGCTACATTAGTCTTAGAATCTTGGTAATTGCTCAGGTAAGAAGGAAATAATCACATATAAGATGGACATGGTGGCTATACTTCTAACCCCAGTTAGTCCTTGGGAAGCTGAGACAGAAGGACTGCAAACCTGAAGGCAGCCTGGGTTCTACTGAGAGTAAGACATATACATACTCATTATTTTTGTGAAGGAACACTGCTAAAGCCAGAGAATAAAAGCATCTTTCATTTTATTTATGCCCCATCTTGAAGGTTAATGAGCTGATTTTTAACACTAATTTGCACTCATTAGAAACAACTGAGTTGGTAAAGTTAATAGGAACTGAAAAAATTATCAGTAAAAAACCACAAATTACTTATTGGCTAATGTGTACATTGATATTTCACTCCTTTAAAACCACTATCAAGGGGGCTGGAGAGATGGCTCAGTGGTTAAGAGCACTGACTGCTCTTGCAGAGGACCGGGGTTTGATTCCCAGCACCCACATGGAGGCTATGAACTGTCCTTAACTCCAGTTCCAGGGGAATCCAAAGCCCTCTTCTGACCTCCGCAGCACTGCATGACACGGGTGCACTCACACACATGCAGGCAATATACTAATACACATAAAATTAAAAAACAAGAAACCTCCCCAAAACCCCACTATCAATGCTGAAACTTGTCATACTTCTGTCACAGCTTAAACTTCTGGACTTTAAACTTGACCTAAATCCAACAGGTAGTCATTCAGTGGGTAAATTATTTACCTTTAAGAATGCTAGAAAAATGATTTCAACAGCATTTTAATTGTCTATTCCTTCTGCTAACAATTTCATTGGAGTTATTCATCTTCTGGTCTCAAGCACACCTACCAACAAGTGACAGAACCTATCTTCTACAGGAATTATAGGTGTGCTGTGAAGTCATTAAATGTGCAACTCTGAATCAAAGTAGTGTGATTCAAAACCTTATATAATTCAGGATGATATGTAAATTCATCAGCATAGATCAAACATTCCTGCTAGATGATCTCTGGAATGTCTGAAGTGGCAAAAAAAAAAAAAAAAGCAGCATGTGGAAGGCACCAGTAACTGAATACAGATTTTTAAAAAAA